ACCAAATTCATAGCCAAACATTCAAATGCATTATTAATACAGTATTTATAAACCATATTTATATTATCGGATTTAACTGCTTTTGTTCATTTGTGTAGGTATAATAAATGAGGTATAAAGCCTTTTATATAATGAATCAGTCAAAAAACTATTAAGCAAAACATTAAGCAATTTATTATACGGTACAATATATTAGTATAAAACTTCAGTAATTTAGTTACATAAAAGAATAATTGCTTATAAAACTATGTTTAAATAATATATAAACTACATTATTTTTATATATTTATATAACAAAATTCCTAGTCAATTAAGTTTAAGCTTGATATTTAATCATAATTATAAATATTGGTTTAGGGGTTTAATATTTTTAAATATTTATATTTTATAAGAATTGTATGCATAAATACTGTATAATATAAAATAATTATAAATCATATTTTATATTTTGATTTGTTTGTAATATACTTTACATGTAACATGAAAACTTATTCTTTATAGCTACAGTATCATTAAATTAATTTTTAATGATTTAGATTCTAGAAACCTACTAAATTCTACATAATTGTCGTGTTATCTATTGTAATATAAGAATTTGATACAGAATGGGAAGTCAATGAACGAAACATTACCATTTAATAATAAAATAAATATTTATTAATAACTTATAAAGTATACAATTAATGGCATAGGGGTTGAAGATGAGTGAAACTGCCTACCGGTAATAATATAATTTACAGAATATAACTTATTGGTAAAAACTATAATAAAATACAAATGTTCTTAAACTGCACTATAAAATAACTTATAAAATGATAATTTAAATTTATTAAAAAAATAAAAATAGAATCAATTTTATATAACTATAAATTGACACAAACAGAAAAATGTTATAAATTTCTAAATTTTTCTATGATATTAGGATTAATGCTATTGTAATCCAAAATGACAGAACGTAAACACGAATCTGCAAAACAAGCAATTAATTAATTATGCAAATCATTAACTTAAAATAAATCTCACTTTTAATCGATTCATTAAATTCATACGATTCCGAGAAATGATTGTCAAGATCACAGGCAGTCAAGTCTAAAACATTTAATTTGGGAAAATGTTTCATAAGCCTCGCGATAATATCACAAAATTGAGCACCGAATGTATTAAAGCTCAAATTGATGTCTATTAAATTAGGGCAACATTTTGTTAATAGCAGTTCCAGTGCCGGCAAACCAATTGCAGTGCACTTTAGGTTAAGTGTTTTCAGAGACGGCAAAAGAGACAAACAATTGAAAAAATTGAACGAATCCTCGAAAATTATGTTTGAAAAGGAAATATCCTAAAGAGAGACATAACTTATTAGTTAATCACAAATGTTATACAAAAAATATTTCTCACGATTTCTTTTAAATTAGATTGTCTTTGAATTGCTTTAAATATGGGTTTAATTTGATTGTGCGGTATATTAACGTTAGAGAGGTTAAGACAACCGTTGATTTGTGTGATTTGGAGTTCATGTAAAATCTCATTATTCACATCAATTCCACTCGCTTTGCAGACTTCTTGATACCGATCCGGTAATGGATTCAAAACCCATGACTCGATCTTTGCGTTAACCTTTAACTCATCGCCAGTAATGACATCAAGAATACAATCTTCGTCTGTGAGGAGCGCGCCATCAGTTGTTTGCAGCGATAGAATAGGCTTTTCACCAAATTTCGAGAAATATCTCTTCTCGGCCTCTTTATTGAGCCACAAACAGTTGGCACTCCTGTTCAGCACTGGAATAACAAACACAGTGTTGTCGCTGTCGTTAACACAAACCCTCAACAGAATCGGCTTTAAATTAGTTCGCGATTCAGCGTTTGAAACACTATTTTTAGACATCATATCTCTAGTGGATTCGGGAAGTGGTGGCTTTGGGTTAATAACAGTTGGTTCACTACCACCGGAATCACATGTGCTTTCACTGTCAGAATACATATCCAAATCACTGTCATGTCTTTGGGAATCAATATTGGTTTGTTTTGTTGACTTATATCTCAAAGGCTTAGAAGTTTTTAATGTATTATCACTAGTTTTTGAGCGTTTGTTGAACGCATCGAAAGCATCCAAACACGACCTCTTTTTGTTTGTCGGCATATCATCGATAAGCCATTGATTCTCATTCACAAGATTCCTCTCGTCTATGAGCGCCGGCATTGCAGTGCCCTTCGGTCGGGGCTTCTGTTTACTCGTATCAACGTCTCGATTGCGTCTTAAGTTGGAAATGGATGCGCTGTACTCTCTTCGTGCAGTCCTGGGGTCATCGAAATCGATGTCCATATCGTTTGCACTCTTTGTCACTAAATTGTTGGGCCGAGAATACGAAGACTTATGGATCGACGCGTTTAAAGAATCGTCAGAATCCATGTCAGGACTGGAGCGTCGGTTCCGGATTAAAGCCGAATGAACTTTTGCCGTACGATTCAATGCCTTAGGAAAGGACACACTTTTGCGCACAAAACCTGCTTTATTGAGCAATTCCTCCAATTCTTTCTCTAAGAGTTTAAACTCTTTGGCGTCGTTTTCAGTGATACTCTTCTCTTCACTACACCTCCGCTTCCAATCCCGAAGCGAATCCAAAGGCGTTTCGTTGGAATTATTCAAAAGCGTTACTTTCGCTCCTTTTCTTAGGAGTAGTCGAATGATACTGAAGTGACCATTACTGCAGGCGTCGTGCAATGGCGTAATGCCATCACATTTGGCCCCTTCATTGTCATCAATGTGGGCGCCGTTCGCCAGCAACAACTTAACGATCTCTATGTGTCCGTTGTTGACGGCCTCATGCAGTGGAGTCCACCCGCAGTGGTCGCGAACGTGAACGGGATGTTTGTCTGCAAGTAATCGCTCGACGAGTTTGACTTTCCCCTCAATGGCCGCTCTATGAAGATCTGTTTCTCCCAATTGATTCGTTTTCATCTTTTTACCCATTCTTTTAGACCGGTTTGAAGAACTCACTTCTTCATCATCGGAACCACTGCTGAAGTCCGATAAGTCGTTTAAATTATATTTGTCATAAATGTCTTCATTATCTTCTTCTTCATCTTCAATTGGTTCACATTCTGTTCTTCTCTGAAGACTAAGTTCTTTGATTCTGTCGTTGAGTTCCAAAATTTTGTCACATTTTAATCGACGACTTCTAAGAAAAGCTAAAAATCGTTGCAACAAATCAAGTGATAAACTCGTGTCACTGTTCCCAATCTTCTCTAAAGCCATTTCATAGGTTTCGATGATATCGTCATTAAGTTTGTCGTCTTCTAAATACTCTTTCATTTCTGCGATATTCTTCAATGTCTTACTCTCTTCGACACCATTCCCTCGATTGCAGTTCAACTCGTGAGTGAAGTATTCGATGGCTTCCGTGTACTGCATATTATCGCCGTATGTCTGAGCGATAGAGACATAGATTTTGGCGATTTCTGCATCACTTTTATTGCATTGAATCGCAAGATTCAACTCTTTCTTATAGAAATCAATGGCAACTCCAAAGAGTTTCAATTCGACGAAATGATCGCCCAATTTGTCGCACAAATTCAACTTCACTTCCGAATCACTTGTTTGGGACATCTCTCTGAAGTGATCGCATATAACGGACGCAATCTTAAGATATCTGATGACCTTTTCGCGGTCCTCAACGATCGGTGAATTCAATTTATAGGCCTTTTTGAAGCACTTCCGCGAGACTTCAAACGCATGTAAACGCATTAAAACCAAACCCTTTTCGATGAGAGCGTCGCACAAATGGGTCCTATTCTTCAGGAGTTTCGCACTTTTGATGGCCTCGTCGTAAGTGTTGGACGCGTTCTGCAGCTCTTTGTTCTTCTCATAAACCGATGCCAACGCCAACTGACACCTAAACATGTCTTCAGTCAAACCGAATCGTCTGTAAATGAAAGCATAGAATAGTATTCATCTCTGGAAGTCTGGAAATCCTTTGCCCGAAGACTCACTTATTTAATGCGATCGATAGATGCAAATGAGTCATCGCTTCCTTCCAGTGACCCATCATTTCTAAGACAAGACCTAAATTGAGGTAAAGTCGAGATCGCATTTCCGCCAACTCTTTGTCCTTGAGTTCAGTCAATCTAAACACAAAAATATATACTTTTCATAAACCGTGAAATGAGTGACAAGTGATCACAAGAGATGTCAAGTGATCACAAGAGATGTATTACTCGTCGCATAATTTCAAAGCCTTAGAGAAGGCATTCTTGGCCTCCATTAAGACCTTTTTGTTGACCTCATTGTTCGTGTGATAGAGTTCTTGGGCCCGAAGATAGTGTGTCCGTCCGATTGTGGCGAACGCCCTCTGGATCTCAATGTCGTCGCAAAGACTCTGAGATAACGACAGATACTTGTGGTGTTCAGACAACGCCTTCTGGTATTCACTGATCTCTGAATAGCATTCCCCTAACGCTCTTCTGGCGGACGCTTCCGATCGACGGCAACCCATCTGAAGACTGTGGTCCAGCTCTTCCTTGTGCTCATCGATGGCCTCATTATATCTGTTTGTCTGCAAATACTTTCGTCCCAAACAGTTGCAGATATTCATCAACTCTTTCATGTCATTGCAAGCCCTGGCCTTCAATTTGTCTGATTTCAGTTCTGGAGACCACAAACACACTCATTAGCTCCGAGTATCACTAATTAGTACCACTAGACATACCTTTGATGGCTTTGTTGTCCATGACTTGGATGACCACTCAAGAGATGGTAACGTCAGATCGCATGCGATGAGTGTATTGTTTGTCTTTTGCCTCACTTTTAGCGCTCTTTTCATACAGTATTTGTCAACAAATGAATGAATTAATGAATCATTGATTGCTTGCCATCTGTTGGACACGATTTCATTACATCAAAAGTCTGCTAAAAGTTTGGAAAAGTTTTTCAGTTTAATTGTGTCTAACATTTAAATCATTTGTTTAAATCATTAGATAAATTCTAATCATTTGTTGTGTTTTTGGCAATTCTTTACCGAATACTCAAATATTATAAAAATTTACTCAAAATTTATTGAAACAAATGTTTATTAATAGTTTATAGAAGTTTATAATTGTAATGCAATTCATTATTATTATCATTATATTGAGAAATAAATTGTCAAAATCATTAGAAATCGACAAAAATATAGAAAATCTTAAAACAAGAGATAATTGAATGAAATATAGTACAAAGTATAAGATTAAATAGCAATCAAACACACTTGCAGTTTAGTTATCTTCTGTCGGTTTGTCTGACTTTCCGCGAATTATATCTTTAAATGCATTCTTATTCTCAATTGATTCCAATGTATCTGAAACCCAATTTATTAGTATTGAATTCAACATTTATTCATTGAATCATAAATTACTAATTTAAAATTAGAGTTAAATTTCCAAGTTAATTTAAATAAAAAGCAAATAATTAGTGAAATACCAGTGAATTTGATATATTTATTCACGAGATATTAAATCATTTATTGTTTAGATTTTATAAATATTGCAAATAATGAGTGAGTTGTGAGTCGTGTGGAGAACTCGCATCCGATTGAACACAAGAATCAGAAGACACCACAAAATGACGAGACAATCATCACTACCAACGGGANCAGTCATTGGTTTCATGTATTTAAGGCAATGACACACAAACTAATGGCTCTAAAAGTGATACTAAATTCAAATTCTTGTCAAACCTTTTGAATTGAATTTTGTGACAAAATATAAAAATAAAAAGTTTTGTTAATTCAATGAATTGATTGTATTATTAGTTAGTGTTTATACTTTTAATATGAAAACATTTAAATGCATTTACTATACTGTACTGTATTACCACTTAATAACTTTGAGATAATAACTGCAAATCATATGAAAAACAATTAGAAAACGAATGGATTTTGAAAACAATGAAAAAGTTATCAATTTTTGTGATGAAAACTAGATTTTCATAAATGAAGTGAAAGTGAATTGAAATCCATTTGAAAGAGAAGAGAAAGTGTTGTGAATCACATCCAAAGACATCGAGACATAAAGAGATACAAAGAGTGGAGGAATGAGTGGAAGTGTATCTCAATCGCAATCTGTGGACATATCTAGTGATGAAATTCTGGACAAATTGAGACAATTCTGTCAAAAGTACTTCTATGAGAGCAGTGGTCGGGAGGAGAGACGGGAGTGTCAGCGAGTGTTCAACACATACCTGAGTGCAGCCATACCTGTGTTGTGCGAACGGGTGTGTCGGCAGTGGGAGAGAGAGCGTCCGGTGCCCATAGTGTCGGTGCAGTCGCCGTGTTATTGCTTCGGCGACATTCACGGCAACGTCAAAGACCTCTACGACTACGAGGGCTGCCTTTGGCTGTCGGCGGGGGAGAGGGCGCCGCCCCGGGAGGCGAAGTACATGTTTTTAGGCGATTACGTGGATCGCGGCCCCCATTCGGTCGAAGTGGTCGCCTATCTGCTGGCCCTCCGGGAGTCGGCGCCCAATCGGTTCACTCTATTGCGGGGCAATCATGAGGTGCGGGCCGTCAACAAGTCGTTCACCTTTTGGAACGAATGCACGCAAAAGTTCGGCCGAAGCGCCGGTAGACAGATATGGGACGCAATCAACCGGTGCTTCGAGAGGCTGCCCGTCGGCGCAGTCATCGACCACAACGTCTTCTGCTGTCACGGAGGCGTTCCCAAGACGTT